AATTTCTCAAAACTTACTTAATATGGCATGTGACCAACCTTATTACGCCAAGGTTTTCAATTTTTCAATAATAAAAAAATTGTTTAATCCGGGCCCGACTTTTCCCTTGAATCTAACAGAGATAGCACCATTCCGTCTTGCTTGGTTCTCGACCGCCAGATCAAAGACGCCGACACGGAGTTGTGGAGCTGTATTGTATAAGCTGTGATACTACTCTCCAACCGTCTTACGAATTTTCGATCAGCCTACGTGTCCTGAAAAAATTGGGTGGGTCAACATAACACAACATTCAAGTTGGATAATGTTGAAAAGTTGGCAAGAGAAAAATTCCGAAACATAACGCCGGAGGAAATGGCAAACGTGGTGGACCATTTCGCGAAATATAAGGATGCATATATTCAAAGAGAACACCTTATGGATGAATTTACAGATTCTCTCATATTTAGTGTAAACACGAGGTCATCTGATAAGTGGGAATCCGATATTTCCGACTTGGAAGATGATGAACATGTTTAAAATTATACAAATTAAATTAAAATATATTATTTATTTAAACTTTTAGTTGTTTTATTAATTTAAAGTTCATCAGCAATTTAACTAACGATTAGTTAAAATTTAACATTAACTTATTAATATGTTCGATTTAAAATATTTTATTAATGTACACACGCCACTGCTAAGGTATCAGGTACCCCTACCGCAGCAGATTTCAGCCCAGCGCCTTTAACTAAAGCTCCACAAAGTTATGACGTACTGCGCGAACTGCGGCATAGCTATGACGAAATGTGCTCTTCATAAAAAAATCGAGCTCTACGAATCTACAATCGTGACTGGGTCTCAAAATCCGCATAAATATATTTAAATCTACTAATAGGCAACTCAAATTACACGTGACTAGTATTCAACAGTACCTTGATAGATAAAATGAGAATAAACACAAAAAAAAAAAAGTAAAAAATACCGATTTTGCAAATTTGACTTTCTAGATAGTTTTGGATTTTGGTCCTTGGTTTTTAATTATTTATAAATTAATTAAATAAAAATCGTTATTTATAATATGTAGGTGTCGGCGCTGGATACCAAAATACTGACTTTGTTCTATGACAAAAGTCTAAACTAGTCAAGTTAAAAACTGAATTGAAAAACTGTGATTCATGATTTAATTCTTGTTCTGATTCTGATATACTATTTGAATTTTAATCACTTTTTCTACTTCGTATTACTCATTCCTTTATTAATCATTTCTAGATTTGTTCTGTTTCGTACATTCAACTTTTAGAATTCTGTTTTCGAATTTTATGAAAACTTGAAGAGTAAACAGCGGCATTGTTGACCAAACGACATTAAATTAAATTTAAATCGAAAACTAGCAGCGTGCATGTATATATGCTGCACCCGCCGGGTTTATCAGACAGAGAATTACTGCAAAAAAACTAACTCTCGCCGAAGCGAGTGGTTTTCCAAAAACAAATAGACATTCACAAAATCTGATTAAATTTCGAACGTGCGTCACGGAGAATATCACATTAAAAGTAAGAATAATTCGAATGTATTAAATTATTTTTTTTGGGGACAATTAGATTTATAGATTTCACAATTAAATTCTGTCAAAAATTCGAAATACGGGCAACAGAAATATCTTAGTCATACATAAACCACAGCTTATACAATACAGCTAAAACACTCTCTTGGCGGCAACGGTTTGCGTCGATTTCGTCGCGCATCGCTTAAGCTCCGCCTTCGAAGGGAAAAGACGGTTTTGGTGTTCAGAAGCGTACTTAGGTAAGGTGTTGAGTCGTGCGAATAATTTCGTTGATTGTATAATTTCGTGGAGCCTATAATTTCGTTGATTATATAATTTCGTGGAGCCTATAATTTCGTTGATTTTGTTTGAGTTAAAGGTACTGTTATTATTTTGGTGACTCTTTAGCTATGAGTAGAATGAGTGAAAAAAAAAGACATCATTCTGTTTGTGCAGTCAAAAGCTGTTTTAATAAGGGTTATACCTGCAAGAAAACATTCTTTAGTTTTCCCAAGGACCCAAACCGATAAGTACCACATTATAAGAAATTTTCATTGTTAAAAATATAATTTATACAGGGTATCCCATTAGTGCGTTATTGTTCATTATTTTGTTGTAGACACGCAAGAAAGTTTTAAATAAAAGTTATATGGATTTGAAAAATACCTACATATTTTAAAAATATCTTTGGATATACAGGGTGTCACGTTTTTGCCTGGCAAATTAAAATGTATGTTTTTTAAATGGAACACCTTGTATTTTATTTTATGATAAAATTATTAACACCCTAAATTACTGTAAAGACGGATTGATACAGAAAAATTTTATCAGGTATGTGTGTGGTTACCTTTTAATAAAAGCCTTGCGGATCCACTCCTCTGCGATACCTGTCTTAAATATAACAAAGATCACGTTGAATTAGATGATTTTTCTTTTTATTGCTTTTTAAAGGCATATGATAACGCCAATCCAGATACATTTGGAAATCTGCAACTGTCAAATGATGAATTTGTAGAACTAATATTCAATATTGAAAAGATATTTCAAAATAATTTTGAAGAATTGGCTACAAAAAATAACATTTGTACCACACTTTTAGAATTAATTAACCCAATACCCTTTAGTCATCCATGCTAACGTTTTCCAAAAGAATAACTTATTTTATTGTATGTTTAATCTCAATAACTAAAAAATATACTGACAATTAGTTTGACAGAATTGTCATTTATTTAAAATTTTAAAAATAATAGCAGTCGGTTGATCAAAATATGAACGGTGATTGGCGAATTTATTTTTTTTTTGCAGTGTTCTTACTACCTAGAATGGATATGAAATATATTCGTTCAATTGAAGGCAATAGCATACTTTTTCGTTTTGTAATCTGTGCATGGATATTAGCCAATCTATGCACATACTACAAAACGAAGAAGTATGTTATTGCGTTCAACTACGAATATATTTCATATCCATTTTAGGTAGTGAGAACACTTTAACAAAATTAAATCTACAAATCACAGTTCATATTTTGGTCACCCAACTCCTATTATTTAAATTTTTTTAAATAAGTGACAATTCTGTTAAACTAATTGTCAATATATATTTTAGTTATTGATATTAAATATACATTAAAATTTTTGTGTAGACTCGATAAATAATAGCATTTTTGTTTTTATTGTGTCCACATTTAAAAAAAAATAAATTTTAATCAAACTACATGATACTAATTTAATTACGAGTATTAAAACTAAAGTCCTGAAAGTTTCGGTGAAGATGAGGACAGAGCATCTGCCTTCCACGCGAAAAGCCCGGGATCGAATCTAGGCCGAGGACTAATTAATTTTTCATGTTAATTTTATTTTATAAATTAGTCAACTTCGTAAATTATTTTAAAATTAGTTATTTTGTCTAAATAACCTAAAATAATTTTTTAAATTTGTAGATTTTCGTTAGTGGGTCGTAGAAAAAATATACTGACCATATCGAGTGGATTGTTCATATCACAATCAGACGATTGAGTACTCCGCATACGACGTCGTGCTCAAACTTCGTCTTTGTGTGATATTGCTATCATATCCACCCTTGTTGAACAAACTATAATTTATTTGTTTTCTTGGTTTAAACCAAAACTTAAGTTTTACATCAGAAATAGGAACTAAATTAATTTACTTTTCAAGTTTTCTTATAAAAATCGATATTACTTTCTCCAAGTACAAATTTAGTACCTACCTAAAATAAGTACTAATTATGTAATATCGTGTAATATTGTAATTCAAATTTCACATTACTATAAAGTTTCAAAATTCCCTACTTCGGTATGGTCAGATAAAAATTGAATATATTATATTAATAAAAACTGTCAAAGTATTACTTCTACAAATCTGTATTTCAATTAATAAGAATACATCTAAATATAACCAATATTGTTAAAATAAAAGCATAAATTCTTTATAATTCCAAAATACCATAGAGTTCCCAGACCTCAGTCGAAGCATTCGTTTATCTAGGTATAAACCCTTTGCGCGAAGAGTAACACTTGCCAGAGACACGGGGTACCACTTGATTTGCATCCACGAGCGTGACACATTTCTTTAACAATTGAAGCCCTTGGTGTAAAAAGGATCCAAGTCACAATTTGTCGTGAAGTGACTGTTTTAGCTCAAAACATTTGTTAACGAGGATTTTACTAGCCACATACAAATTATTTTACCTCTAATCCGAAAGATGTGCTATTTTTCGTAATATTTATATTTAAATAATGTTTCTAATTATATTTGACAGATTTAAAACAAATTAAAAATTTAATTTCCCAAAACTTACTTAATATGGCATGTACCAACCTTATTACGCCAAGATTTTCAATTTTTTCAATAATAAAAAAATTGTTTAATCCGGGCCCAACTTTTCCCTCTAATCTAACAGAGATAGCACCATTCCGTCTTGCTTGGTTCTCGACCGCCAGATCAAAGACGCCGACACGGAGTTGTGGAGCTGTATTGTATAAGCTGTGCCTAAACACCAAACAGCATTTTTTAAAAGATTCTTATCTTATGTAGCATCCAAAGAATATAACAAACTTGGGCTAGAAATTTGGCTAAAAAAAAATAACTTGTATGTTTTTTATTTATTTTTCCCACGATTTAAATATGTATTTTTTTGTTAGGTTAAGTTTAAAAACAGTAATACATGTTAGTCTTTAACTTAATTTCTGAACAAATGTAGCTCGGTAACCATGGATAATTGGACATTAGGTTGAGATGCACTCAGAAATATACTATTTAAGTTTTTATAGTACATTATGCAACACTCTGTATAAATACTTATCAATCCTATAGAACACGTGTATTATCTTTAAATATATTCACATAAATAATGTTAATTATCTAGTTTAATAATTTTTAATAAATGTTTGCAATATTTTTTAATTGTACCTGTATTTTTATATCTTTATTTTTCTTTTAATTAGTTCCTAAATATTATATAAGACTACAACATGAAGCACAAAAAAGTCAAATTTGTAAATGTTCTGAAATATACCTACTTTCAATATTGGTAAGTAACTTAATAATTATATAAAGATTATGTTATTTTCATTAATAGATTTTAAATATTTTCTAAGCACGTCTATTAGACAAATTGTATTTATATTATCTAGTTACTAATGATATTTTTCAAAAGTTAGAAGAACATTGTTAGTTACCCAAAAGTGTTTTAAACAGGTAATATAATATTTTTAGAATAGTTGTGAAAACAGTAGTGTTAAGATCTCACAATGATCGAACCAGAGTTATGGGGTAAAAACAATGACTTGACTACCCTCGTCAATATTGAATACCTAGAAAAATTCAAGGACCTAATTGTATGGAAAGAAAATGAATCTATTTTTGAATTTGGAATGGGGGATGGAAGAAATACAAAAGAGGCACTGTTACCCCGATTGCCAAAAAACTTTAAGGAATATATTGGAACTGATAAATCGGCAACAATGATTGACTATGTTAAAACTAATATTTTAGAACCAAGAGCTACATTTATGGTATTTGATATTTCCTCTGATACTGTTCCAGAAGAATTTGAAAATCGATTTGATCACGTATTTGGATTTTTCGTAATGCACTGGGTAAAAAATACTAGGTAAGAGAACATAACAGTAAATACTTCAAAATAATTCTCATACTTTTACAATTAACTCACGTATTTGTTTCTTGACAGGATTAAAAATGGTTACCCTAATTCACATTTTCGTGCTAACTTGTAGAGAAAAAACCTCTATTAGAGATTTCAAACCTCATAAATTCAGAATCCAGAATAATATTATTCTGAATATAATATTGACATTACTAATAATTTATTAGCAATATACCTAGGAATATATGCTCCCAAAAAGTAGTTAAATATGCGCATATATGTATATGCTGCAAAATACTTCAATATATGCGTAAAAATTTTAAAAATATGCAGAGCATATGCAATAAGAGTAATTTGTTATTTAATCAACTATTTGTTTTATTTTACAATACCTAATATTTAATTATTAACTAATTTTATTTACAAATCAACATTATTATAAAACGAATGAACAATTAGATGTTTTTCTAAATTATCTGTATTAAATGATTGTCTCCTATCAGTAAGTATGTACTTGTACAAAGAAAAACTCCTTTCGACATCTACAGAAGTAATAGGTACAAACTTAAATTTTCCTGAAATATCTGGATGAATAGTATTAATATCTTCAAAGTTACCAGAATAAATATTAGCAAGGTTTCTTAAAACAATAAATCCTTCATTTTTTAAAATTACATTTGAAAATTTATGAAAAATCGTCTTTCCAATATCGCCCTGGACATTTTTACATTCTGATTCAAACGTCTTAATTAAATTTACAGAAGTCACCAAAGGTAATTTTTTTTATTCCAAATCTAATATAATTTTGGGTACAAATGCATAATTTTTTAAAAACACTAATTGCTTTGGTAATATGTGATTTTTAAACAACTTCTTTGTATTAGATATTCCCTTAGATGAATCATCAAAATCAAATATGATTTCTTTAATTTTTTCATAATTATCTGCGTAAAAAAAGGCAGTAAGCTGTAATCACAGGTTACGGTGGCATCTGTAATTTAGGATACTTTTCTTTCGTACAAATGAGTTCTTAGAGGAGCTTTAAGAAATATTTTTTTTACATTACTAATTAAATCATTTATTAAAGGAAAGTTAGACCTAATTTCTTCTGCAACTCTGTTAAGACCATGAGCCAAACATGTAACATGGATTAAGCTTTCATAAAACATTTTTAAATTTTGTGCGGCTTTTACCATGTACGGGGCAGCATCGGATAACAGCAACAAACATTTTTCTGTTGGAACGGCTTCCGGAAGAAAAAAGTAAGACAATTCTGTCTGGATAAAACGAGTTATTGTCAAGTTATTTGTTTTATCTAATTCTTTGAAGCGATTAGATATGGACCAATTTGCATTTCTTCGCGTAATGAACCTATCATTAAATGGGCTATATATCGACCACAAGAGTCTGTTGTTTCATCCACAATAATGTAAAAATGGTTTCCAAGGGTTATCTCACGAATTTTTTCACGAGTCTCAATGTACAAACTGTCAACACCACGTTTGCGTAATATACTTTGCTCTGGAATATTAAATTTACAGTATTTTTGCAAAAATGATCGGAGATTTGAATTATTTAATCGTATTAAAGGGATATTCGAAGTCACTAAAGCTTTGCATAAATCTTCATTAAAAATAGCTTGTTCACTTCTAGACGATCCAGATTCTAAATATTGTTTCAAGGGAAGTTGACTTTGTCTGCGAGTGTCTTTAGATTTCTGCTTTGCTATATGTGAGGGTGTTTTCGCGTGTTGGTCGATTTGAAACTTTTTTTTACATGGAATCTAAAACAAATAAATTCCTATAGATGTTGAAGTTTTAATTAAATTAAATAAATGCGTACGTTGTAAAGTTGCCCTACTTTTTTTTAACTGTGAGTTGAAATAATGTTTTACTGTCGTTTGATTTACCATTGTGAAAGGTCAAAATAAAATAAAAAAGTACTTACAATTTTAGAACATGTTTTACAAAACACCTGGTTATCACCTTCTACAACAAAATCTGAATAAGATTTTACCCACGATTCAATTAATTTTGCCATTTTTCCCACTGGTTAACACAACACAACAATAAAGACTGAAATGAAGTTGAAAGTAAACTGAGTCATTTAGAAATTTGAAGATATTAATACAACTACCTGAAAGGATATTTAGCAAAATTTGTTGGTTTAAGGAGGGTGTTTATAATTTAATCCTCTCAAGTACCTACACCATTAATAAATACAAGTAAATCCTTCAAAATTTTAGGAAATCGACCTGTAAAGGCCTTTCACAAAATATTATTTTGGTCCAAAACTCATAATTTTAATATGTCCAACCAATTAGTAAGTCAGATATATGTCAAAAATTAACAAAATGTCAATATATGCATTCAAAATCAAAAATTGTATATATATGCAACATATGCAAAATATGGCGTTTCGCATATATGCCTAGCTCTACAGTAATAAATAATTTATTTCACACGTTTTACATTAATTTATTCCAGTTATCTCCCACAAATCCTATATTTTCCAATGTTTCAAACCATTTTCTTTTAAATACCGTTTTTTTTTGTTTGTTTTAAAATTCAAAATACTTTTCTTTCACCTTTGTCCTATCTCTCTCCGTTTCTGTCAAATTCTGATTTTTAAATATGTTCCCCCATTTTCCCCTATCTAATCTACATTTCCTTTTCATACTTATTAGGCAACTGTTTTAGTTTTGCTCTACTATTACTTTAATTCATTTCCTTCTTAACTTTATTTTTAAATTCTTCGCTTTTCGTTTTTCTTTTACTAATTTTATTTACTTCTTGTCCTCCAGTGTGAATCTGTCTCTTTTTATTACTTTCTCTTTTCAATTTCTAATTTTACTTCTTTAATTTATATAATCATTTTAACTTCCTTTGCTTCTATATTGATTTCTTCTTTATTAAATTTTCTTCTATATTTATATTTACTTTATATGTTTCAAATTTGCATTTTTCTTCTTTCATTTCTTTTGGTTTTTCACTATATGTTTCTAACATTTCATCTATCTTCTTTATTATTTCGTCTATGTCTTGTTTCCCATTTTACTTCATTTCTATATCAATACATTGTACATCTCACTCTGAAACACACTATATACAACCGTTTACATTGTATTGTATATTAAACTAATTTTGAACATGAGACACATTAGTGGCTGCATTTAGCAACAATACAATATCTGAAGAAAATACATTCTATTTAGAATAATTATATCAGTGTCACATTTTCGTGTAGCACAAATTTTTATTGTGACAACATCTTGCAAATACACTCTTCTCTAAAATTTAATTGTCTTCCTAACTACTTTACTGGAACAGCATCATCAGTAATAATATCCCAAAGGAAAGTGATGATCACGAAATAATTTTATTACAGTTTCCGAAAGCTATTTTGGGAAACGTATTTAGGGAAATTGGAATAAAATTAGGTATGAGTATTTATCCCTTGTTGAGGGATATTTCGTTAGCAAATTTTTGGTAATTTAGTTTAAGTAACTTTATTATTTACTCTCGTATTATATCAATTAACTAATTTGTTTATATTATCCTTATTTAGCAACACCAATATGTAATATTTTGAAAAATAAAAAATGGCGATGGACAATACTATGATTGATAATTCATATTATCTATGAATTCAAATATAACAACATTTATTTAAAAGAAATTGAGAATGAACTGATATGCTCTTGGCCAGTAGACAATCAGAAGGTGATATTTTATTGACAGAATTTGGAGTAGATGATCAAGATCAACAGGAAACGGTTGTTGAAGACAATTCCTCAAGACAGTTCTATCAAAAATTGAACCATAATAAATTAGCTTGTTGTATTTTAAATTTGATTCCAAAAATATTTCCCTTTTTGGTGTGCTGGATTAATTATTGTTATTTTAATACTAGATACAACTGCTTCTCATAGATTTATAAATTAAATAACCTATTATATAGCTCTTGAAGTAACAGAATATTTGAAATTCACCTAAATTACGCCCATTCAATAATAAAAAATTATAAATTTATATTGAAAATTTAATTATTTTTGTATTTCAGACGCGCATTTCAAAATATGCATAAATTATTGAAACCTGGTGGCCAGTTGTTTCTAACATTCGGTGATGAAACTTCAGCCGATCCTGTATATTTTGATTTCTTAGAACATCCCAAATGGAGTAAATATAACCATGAATGGTTAATTTCACCGTATTTTGGTCATCCGGATCCAGAAAATGAATACAAAAAGCAACTTGTTCAAGCAGGTTTCGAGCTATTTGAGTACCAAAGAGAAAAGAAAATTTACAAATTCCCCAATGAAGAATCATTTAAAGGTAAAATCAATCAAATAACAAAGTGTGAAATTAATCATTTTAATTTAAGTTAATTAATTCAAATAAAAATAAGTATTTACTTTTATTATGGGTAGAAAAGTTTACAAAATAAAATATAACATACAATATACAATAATAATTTATATCAAGGTTTTAACTTGAATGTATAGCGAGACATGCGAAAGCTCAATCAAACTAAGTTGTGACAGTTTAAAATGAAAACAACCTTTATTAATTTTTCTTCTTTTTTAGGATTTTGTCTTAGTATAAATCCTGTTCTAAAAGAAGTATCCAAAGAAGATTTTGATGAGTACAAAGCAGAGTACCTGGCAAAAATGACAAACAACAAACTAAATTTTACAAAAAAATGTTGTGAAACAGGAAAAATTATTTACCATTCGGGTTATGAACTAAATGCTGTTTTAGCTAACAAAAAATGACTATAATACTGAAATTAAATGAAATTAATAGTGTTTAATAATATTCCTTTGTTATATCGTACTATTCAAATTAAAATGTATCATAAAATACAGATGGATATTCATAAAATAACATTTTCAAATAATTAGAACCGTATATATATTTTAAACATGTAATTAAAAGCTTTGAGTTATTAAAAAGAAATAATTAAAAGGGTGATGGTCAATAAACGTATCAGTAATTTATTTTTGAGTATAACGATGTATGTTATTATGTGTTTGTTTAATAATAAATTGTAAAAAAAATAAAGGAAGAACATTAAAAATTTTGTTAAGTATAATAAGAAAAAAGTTCTGCATCTTAAGTGTCCGTCAGTCTATAAAGTCAGTAATTTCTAAATGTATTTGTTTTAAACGGTTTTCGTTCAAGAATTTGGATGTCCATCCAGCTGTTCTTTCTGACTCTCGTGTCAGAGATGCTAAAGTATTTGAGATAGTTGATGTAGATATTTGGAGTTGCTTTCATCTTTCTCAATAGAAATATTTTTGCAAACGTTTCGGCCGTTTGTTGCCAGAAGAGGGCGTCCTAAATTTATTTATAATGATGACAGTTCCAATTTTGAGAGGGCTTCTAATGCTTTCAAACAAATCGATTGGAGTCTTATTTTATAGTACTGTTGTGTAGACAAGATAGACTGGAGGTTAGTGCACCAACCGATAGTTGGTGAGGAGGATTTTGGGAACAGCTTATTCGTATATTAAAAGATTTATTTCGAAAGACGTAAGGTAAGGCTTTCTTAGATTTTTAAAAAATATTATACTAAAGTAGTTCTAAATACAACTGAAGAGTACATGGGAAAATAGATCAGAGTCCATTTTTGTTAAAAATAACACCGCCATCTTGTAGTTTTATACCCAATCATCTTGCTGGTATGGCAGGAGTTTTAATAAAATGATTACATTCTCTGTATTTTACCTAAAATTAAAAACTATCCAGTCTTTAAACTTTGTTTTATTTATTCTGCCAAAAAGAAGTTTTTGTGACTAATCATTTTTCGTCAAATTCCATTTTTTTAGACTGTTTGATATTTTTAAATTACTGACGCCGCTCCGTCTACTAGGCTCGTTTTTTAATAAAAATCAATTTGAACAACAGCTAAGTCGTTCTATAATTTTTCTCCAGGCGACACACTCTCACATACATAACACACTAAACTCTGGAATAAATTCGCCGTTAAATAAATCATTTGTATTAGAATAAACGCAATAATATGTCCTTGGTTTACGACCCACCACTAAAAAGGATGGAATGCTTTTAGTAGAATGAACTTTTCCAAATGCGTATCGTCGATTTAGGTAATAAAAAGACTCTTTTGATATTATATCGAGACGTAAAAAGCGTTTTTGTTAACGTTTCCATGAAAAGATTGTGATTTGTTAAAAATTGAAGGAATGACTTTTTTTCTTTCATTTGAATGTAAAAAATTGGATAATGTTAATAGAATAATAATCAACTAATGTACCAAAAACGAACGATTTATTTCATGAATAATACATTTAATTATTTAATATTACATTATTAACAAATTGAATCCCTCAATGGGCCAATATAATATAGAAAATAGGTTATTGTTATACTATTAGATATATAATAATAAAATTATCTAACTTTTCTTACCAGTTTTTTTCCATTGACCAGAGGAATATCTCTTACCTGCAAAAATAAACAAATTATAATATAACGAATATCTACTCACAATATTTTTGTTTTTTAATAGATGGACATGCAAATCTATTTACTAAAGAAAGTTTGAGGTGGGAGTTTAAATGCATTTAATTTAATTTCCAAATGAATTTGCAAACTGATATAGATGAAGACCTAAGATTTGGTAGACATTTATATAAATCAGAGCAGATACTGACGCTATAGTCTATTTTTATGTATGAGAGAGTAATAAAACAGCATTTCTAATGCAAAACTTAGTACAATCATTTTAAATATTTTTACAGAATAATCTAAATATTTCCTAAAATTGTAATAAATGTACCTGAGCTATTACAAGTTTTGGGTCTTTTATTGGTCCTTTATAAACATAAGCTGTACAGAACAATAGAAAAAGGTTTGGACAGGCCAAAAGCCCTGTGTATTAAAGATTACATAGCCGTATCTTAAGATTATTTTCAATAAGTACCTATTTGCCAATTTTGTTTTATTTTAATTCCAAGAATTTCTTACAGTAATCAAATTATAAGTAGATAAATACCTTCCCAACAAATTTCACCGAAAATGCGATTATAGGTTTTCCATTTAGTAAGGAGGTCCAAGTTGTGTATTCTTGACAGTTTACTAAATGTCGTTTAGTTGCAACTTGCAAGGTGCAGTGTGAATTCTAGTGTGATCATGGAAAATTTGGAAGGGCCGCGTAAACGACAAAAAATCGGTCCTTTAACAGTTAATGAAAAATCATTAATATTTAATTGTTTTTAATCATTTACAGACAAACATTTATGTAAAAGTGTTGATGACACAGTGGAATTAGTTAGTAGTACGCTTGGTGTTGGGAAATCTACGATTTACAGAGTTGTTAAAGAAGAGAAATGTGGCTAGTTTCAAACAGCACGTAAAGCTCCAGGAAAATCAAAATTTCAATTAGAAAATCTTTTGAAAGAAAGACTTCGAAGGAAAGTGAATGCGTTTTTCTTTAGAAAATAATTTCCGACAGTAGACAAAGTTCTTGCCACGGTTCGAGATGATAAGGATTACCCTGAAATGAGTCGAAGCACACTATGGAAACTTTTAAAAGAAATAGGTTTTCTATGGAAAAAGCATTCCAGAAAGTCTATTTTAATAGAAAGAAGCGATATTGTAGTATGGAGAAGAAATTACCTAAGGACTATAAAAGAAATGAGAAACCAAAGAAGAAATATATTTTATTTAGATGAAACATGGATCAACGAGGGTCATAAACCAAATAAATTTTGGCAAGATGAAACTGTTACAAGTTGAAGACAGGCTTTTTTAAATAATTTATCCACTGGTTTAAATCCACCATCAGAAAAGGGGCGCAGACTAATAATAGTACACATCGGTAGTTTAAACGGTTTTGTTAAAGGTGGTTTATTGACTTTTGAATCTACTCGTACCGGTGACTACCATGAGGACATGAATGATGATGTCTTTAAAGAGTATTTCGAACAAATTATAGATCTTCTTCCTCAGAACTGTATAATAGTAATGGATAATGCAAGTTATCACTCGAGACATAGAAAAAATGCCCACAACCAAGTGGTTAAAAAAAGATTTACAGAATTGGCTAAATTCAAAGAATATTAAGTTCCATCCCGGTTCTGTGAGAAAAGAACTGTATCATTTGTGTTCCCTTCATAAAGAGAAATTCAAAAAATATGAAATTGAAGAAATTGCAAAAAATCGTGGGATGACGGTGGTTAGATCACCACCATATCATTGCGAACTAAACCCGATTGAACTGATATGGGCACAGATAAAGGGAGAAGTTTCAAGAAAAAATAATTCTTTTAAAATGAGTGATGTTAAACAGTTGTTTTTGGAGGCTGTAAATAATGTGAAGGCCTGAAAAATGGGAAAAGGCAGTAAATCATACGATTAAAGAAGAAGAGAAAATGTGGAAGTTGGACAATATTACTAATGAAATGATCGAGCCACTCATTGTAAATATTGGTTGCGACAGTTCATCTTCTGATTTCGATTCTGATTTGGATTTGTAGGTAAGAAGTAGTTTTTATATTAAAATTAATATTTATGAACGTAACGTTGTTTAAAAGTCAAAGTTTAAACCCTTATACCTACATAACCCGTTTGACACAATGTTCTTAACATACCTTGTGGAAAAACAAAACATTTTAGAAAAAATTGCATTTTTTTACCTTCAGCTGTTTAGAAGTTATAAGCAGGTTAATTCGGTGAAAATATAAGTGTATACTCGAGGAATAACTTCAAAAAATATTTTAACTGTCTACTAAAAGAAGTGGTACGCCTATGGATTACGAACGCTTTATTATTTTAATACTATTTCATACATAAAAATAGACTATAATATCAATCTGAAATTGGATCTGGAAATATACTAAAATTAATTAAATTGCTAATAAGAAATACCAATACTGGAGACATTTATTGATCTGACAGCCAGTTGCAAAAACGATTCCTAAAATCTATGATTAGCTAATGAACCCATAACTTAAATTATCTACTAAATTTGGCAAAGACGTTTTTTCAAATGACAGTATAAAGTAAAGTATGACAATATTATAGATATGTCCCTATCAAGAATTATCTATATCTCTATCGACCCACTTAATAGAACATGATGCAGGTGAATACAAACGATGCTTTTTTATTACTCTCTGTCTACTTACATCACATGTATATTTTTATAAAAATATGTTAAGCCGTTTATATTAAATACTTTAGAGAAAAAAAAGATCTTTTTATGTAATGTACTTGTTGGATTAGATGAACTAAATCCATCCATAAATGTTGGAAGGACTTAAGTTCATATCATTTATTTTTTTTTATATTCTTGCTATTACGTTTTATTATGCTTCTTTGACTAAAATGAAGGTTTTTTATCTCATAGGTAAAACGATAAAAAGAGACGATTTGTTACAGTTCGCCATATACATAGGGTTTATAATTTATATAGTTAAAATTTGCATGTGTTTACGGTTGAAATAACCTGCGGCGAGGTTTTTAACCTCAAAAGGTAGTAACATTAACGTTGGTGCACATTTTATGTTCCAGGAAGTCATTGTTTTTATACGGCAGAGCCCTAATTATATTCACACCAATAAAACATTTTATATTCAATAAATATTTTAATTATGTTGTAGGTATATCCGTATAATCGCGATAGTGTATTATTTATGGTATAATAATATTTCGAGATATTTTTATGTTCTACAGGTATTCACCCAATTGCAGAAAAAATAAATTTACAAAAATAGTACTAAAAGTAAATGTAAACATTTTACTAACTTTTCTTCAAATAAAATTTACAAGCAAAAATTATTTTCTAATTAGTCTATATTCCAAATAAATAATTTTCTTAATTCACCTTGTAGGCATTCACAGTTAATGCGCGAAATCGGTCATTGCATTGTACTAGAAATTCAACTCTTCAGGTTGTTTGTTACTTCAACAAGAAAAAGGATACATGGTAGAGTAAATTTCACGGTATAGGTCGTCTAAACATAATGAACAAATTGTATCTACCTACTTGGATGAATGTTATTACTCGAACGTACTGTAGCTATATTAAAGTAATTTACTTGATATTAGACTGCTGTATTATATGTAGAAACTAATAATTTTTACTTTCCCATTGAACACTGTCTAAAATATTGTTGCAGCCTTATTTTTTTTACAAACATATTAGGTTAATATTACTTAAATAGTGTATTTAGAGCCGATCTTTTCACCTCTGTAGGTTTACTTGACAGATTAACAAACAATAGCCCTATAGTTTAATAAACTTTACTCAAAGGTAAAAAAAAATAACCCTTAATATTGTAAATAACATTAATTTATAAGGAATATTAAGAATTATTAATAAAAATTTAGATAAAGAAATAAAGACATAAAATATGTTAATAAGGGGGCGTCCATTAATTACGTGAGGTGTTCAAAGGGGGGAGGGTATCAAGCTAAATCTTTCCAAATCTCACTTGGGAGAGAGGGGGTCTTTCTAAATCTGACGTAATTTTTTTCTAGTAAAAACAGTGTAACATTGCGTTAAAGTAAAGTTAAATTAAAGTAAAGAATGTTTCTAGAAATTTTATATTACGGCAAAAATCTCAAATACTAGTCTTTGCTAGTCTTAAATAAAAGTAATAGAACATATTGTTTTTGTTTTTTTTTTTTTAATAATCCAACGCATTTACACCCAAAACACAAATTTTTAAAAATCTCACGTGAGATTAGGGAAGGGGGGAGGGAGTTGAGAAAAATTTTACGAAATCTCATCAGGGGGGGAGGAAGGGTCAAAAAATCCTCAAAAATACCTCACGTAATTAATGGTACCCTCTAAGGTAACGCGAGTAGAAAACAAACCTTTTTTGGGATATTTTTTCAATTTTTTAGAGGTTCCATAACAGTTTTTCACTTTATTGTAAATTTCCGAAGAATTTATATTAAATTATTTTTTTAGACAAACACAAACTTTTTGCGAGTAATTTGTTATAACACAAACTGAAAGATCAGTGTTATTTTTTTGATTGACAATATTTATGATAAAATCTAAGACCAAAACTATTATTATAGTCTATTTTTATGTATGAGAGAGTATTAAAATAATAAAGCGTTCGTAATCCATAGGCGTATCACTTATTTTAGTAGACAGTTAAAATATTTTTTGAAGTTATTCCTCGAGTATACACTTATATTTTCACCTAATTAACCTGCTTATAACTTCTAAACAGCTGAAGGTAAAAAAGTGCAATTTTTTCTAAAATGTTTTATTTTTCCACAAGGTATGTTAAGAACATTGTGTCAAACAGGTTATGTAGGTATAAGGGTTCAAACTTTGACTTTTAAACAACGTTACGTTCATAAATAATAATTTTAATATAAAAACTACTTCTTACCTACAAATCCAAATCAGAATCGAAATCAGAAGGTGAACTGTCGCAACCAATATTTACAATGAGTGGCTCGATCATTTCATCAGTAATATTGTCCAACTTCCACATTTTCTCTTCTCCTTTAATCGTATGATTTACTGCCTTTTCCCAGTTTTCACGCTTCACATTATTTACAGCCTCCAAAAACAACTGTTTAACACTCATTTTAAAAGAATTCTTTTTTCTTGAAACTTTTCCCTTTATCTGTGCCCATATCAGTTCAATTGGGTTTACTTCGCAATGATATGGTGGTGATCTAACCACCGTCATCCCACGATTTTTTGCAATTTCATCAATTTCATATTTTTTGAATTTCTCTTTATGAAGGGAACACAAATGATACAGTTCTTTTCTCACAGAACCGGGATGGAACTTAATATTCTTTGAATTTAACCAATTCTGTAAATCTTTTTTTAACGACTTGGTTGTGGGCATTTTTTCTATAAGTCTCGAGTGATAACTTGCATTATCCATTACTATTATACAGTTCTGAGGAAGAAGATCTACAATTTGTTCGAACCACTCTTTAAAGACATCAGAATTCATGTCCTCATGGTAGTCACCGGTACGAGTAGATTCAAAAGTCAATAAACCACCTTTAACAAAACCATTTGAACTACCGATGTGTACTATTATTAGTCTGCGCTCCTTTCCTGATGGTGGATTTAAACCAGTAGATAAATTATTTAAAAAAGCTTGTCTTCGACTTGTAACAGTTTCATCTTGCCCAAATTTATTTGGTTTATGTCCCTCGTTGATCCATGTTTCATCTAAATAAAATATATTTCTTCTTTGGTTTCTCAATTCTTTTATAGTCCTTAGGTAATTTCTTCTCCATACTACAATATCGCTTCTTTCTATTAAAATAGACTTTCTGGAATGCTTTTTCCATAGAAAACCTATTTCTTTTAAAAGTTTCCATAGTGTGCTTCGACTCATTTCAGGGTAATCCTTATCATCTCGAACCGTGGCAAGAACTTTGTCTACTGTCGGAAATTTTTTTCTAAAGAAGAACGCATGTACTTTCCTTCGAAGTCTTTCTTTCAAAAGATTTTCTAATTGAAATTTTGGTTTTCCTGGAGCTTTACGTGCTGTTTGAAACTCGCCACATTTCTCTTCTTTAACAACTCTGTAAATCGTAGATTTCCTAACACCAAGCTTACTACTAACTAATTCCACTGTGTCATCAACAATTTCACATAAATGTTTGTATGTAAATGATTTAAAACAATTAAATATTAATGTTTTTTCATTAACTGTTAAAGGACCGATTTTTTGTCGTTTACGCGGCCCTTCCAAATTTTCCATGATCACACTAGAATTCACACTGCACCTTGCAAGTTGCAACTAAACGGCATTTAGTAAACTGTCAAGAATACACAACTTGGACCTCCTTACTAAATGGAAAACCTATAATCGCATTTTCGGTGAAATTTGTTGGGAAGGTATTTATCTACTTATAATTCGATTACTGTAAGAAATTCTTGGAATTAAAATAAAACAAAATTGGCAAATAGGTACTTATTGAAAATAATCTTAAGATACGGCTATGTAATCTTTAATACACAGGGCTTTTGGCCAGTCCAAACCTTTTTCTATTGTTCTGTACAGCTTATGTTTATAAAGGACCAATAAAAGACCCAAAACTTGTAATAGCTCAGGTACATTTATTACAATTTTAGGAAATATTTAGATTATTCTGTAAAAATATTTAAAATGATTGTACTAAGTTTTGCATTAGAAATGCTGTTTTATTACTCTCTCATACATAAAAATAGACTATAATATTATTTAGAAATTTTCAAATATTTAAACTACCGCTTGAAGAACGTATTTTTAAAATACCATTAGTTTCTAATAAAATAACCATCCGTTTCTTTCTTCCTCTTTATTTAATGTTGACCTATTTCTAGACCCTAAATTTGGCGAACCCTCCGATATTCTAATGAGATAATATAAGGATCTTTAACGAGCCCAGCATCTCTATGGACTCTTCAATTTAAAGACGGCATAATATCCGCACGTATCTCAAGTTCATTGATAAAGCTCGGCACGTGCATTAACAACAATAAATTATTATAAAGGAACGCTGGATGATTCATGTCATTATCTGTCTAGTGAAACAATTAACTATTTCATAGAGGATTGCTGTTTTGTAAAATAACCGTAACGCATTATTTTCTTCATTATTTTCATCTTTGATTTTGAAATCAGAAATATTGAACTATTTTAAATTAAATTAGAATAGTTTAGTCAAATTTTGGCCAGAGTAATATAGTTTTAATTGAAAATTAAAATGAATAAGAACGAAAATAGTTTTAAAAATTTATAAAAATTTAAATCATTACCAAAAATTTATGTGAAGTTAGTCAAAAATATTTAAAAAAATTCAAATCATTACCAGAGTAACGTATCAATGATTTACGAGTATATGAAACGTCAATGTAATTTTACCATTAGACACTTGTCAGTTTGAGTTTATTAAACCGACACAACTGACAAAATATAAATTATTATTTTTAAAATTTAACATTTTCTCATGGATGTTAATGGTGATGTATCAAACAAACTTGAAAAACAGGATAAGGATCTAATTAACACAGTTACCAGTCAACTAAACGAAACGTGTGCGTTAGCTGTCGATGCCGACACTAAACTTCCTGAAGGATTTGGTAAAATAGATTTAAGCCAAAGCATTGACGAAACATTTAAAGTCGCAGACGAATCTTTAAAAGAACTAAACGAAACCACTGTACTGAAAGTTGAAGAATTCAAAAATCGGCTTAGCGATATGACTGAAAAACTAAAAAAAGCTGAGGAACTTAACTCCGAATCGGAAGAAGCGTCCAATAAGATGACTTCCATTGAAGAAGAACTTAAAATTGCGGAGGATCGTTACAAAATCAGACAAGAAAAGTTGAAGCAACTTGAAGAGAATCTAAAAAATGTTTACAGCTCCATGAAATCTCTAGAGGTGTCAGAAGAAAAAGCAAGAGAAAGAGCGAAGCAATTAAGAATTCAACTGGATGGTTTCAATGAGATACTTAAGGAAGCTGAATCGCAGGCCTCGTTTACTGAAACGTTTGTTAATAATTTAGAGAAAACTGCCTCGAAGGCTATTCCAAATAAAAAGCCTTAAAACTGAATTTGGTTTTTTATGTTTTACCCTTAGATTAAAGAGACCGAAGATGTAACATTGCACACTGCGCATGTTGTCTATTTTAACCCAAAGTAACCCACCAATTGAAAATCATTGTTTGCACGACGCCACCCGAATTGCTCCGATTTTTCCATTCATCGATCACCACCTGAGTTTAATCACCATTGACAGCTGTTTTTTGATTTATTTGTTGGTATTTTAGCAATTTAAAGTGCTCTAGTTAATCAATTTCAAGTTCAAAATGCCGCGATGTATCTTGAAAAAATGTATGTACTTATAATACAAGTACTAATGTTATGAACATATTCGTTTTCAGTGGTAAATATTTATTAACGTTTTGACATGAAGCGCCATGATTCTCTGGGCTGAATACTTCAGATCCGCATTAAGGGGTTTCAATAAATATTAAGCATCAGAAATCAGATTTCATATTACTTACATAAATTTACAAAAGGGTAAAATTTTGAACATTTAATTTAAATAATTTAAATAAAAAGTAGTTTTATAAGAATGTTTTCTAGAGGTAGTTTTTAGCCCTTTTTGGTAGATAAATAAGAGGTAAAGAATCATAGTTGCTAGCTAAATTTTATTTTTATAAGGTATTTTTATAAGAATATTAGATGAAATACAGGATGACCTACCGAAAGTGACATTTGAATCTTCAGTCTTAAAACAAAGTAAAACGCACCATATGATCTAGTATAAGCAAAAAAAATACTAAAGTTACAGGAGTTAGGTCCGATTCCACCGTTGTGTTAAAAGGAGATTAAAATGACAGTGTTAATGTAAAAATGTCATTTTAAACTTCGTTTAACACAACGGTGGAATCGACCCTTAGTCACATTAATAAAATATTACATTACAAACCCCTAAACAACTCGAACAAAATTTTCGTTTACTAAAAAAAAATCCAACATTTAGCAATATTTATTATTTATTATACAATCGAAAGCGGTTTCAAAGATAACGGGATCAAAAAATCCGAATCTCTAAATTTTGGAGCTAAATGCTCAGATAAAAGCAAGCGACCGATAGGGGTTACAAAAATAATCGATTTATCGATAATTCTGATATTTTTTAATGAAAATCGATTTATCCGCTGTTTTTAATAAATTATTTTCGTTTTTTAAGATGTCTTATTCGATTTTAAAGGAAATACAAAAAAAGTATATTTATTCAAAATAATCGATTTATCGTTTAATCGGTTTTTTAATTATTTGATTATTTTCGATTTTTCAAAGATATATGAAAATAATCGATTGAATATAATCGGTTATTTTATATAATCGATAATTTGATTATTTTTTAAAATTATCGATTTATTGGTTAATCAGCTTTTTAATAATCAATTATTTTCGATAATCGAATAATCAATTTCAAAGGAAATATGAAAAAAAGGATTATTAGACAATAATCGATAATTCGTTTTATTTTTTGGAAAATCAATTTATCATAGAATCGGCTTCTTAATTAATTGGTTATTTTCGATTCGGCGATTATTTTGGAATTATCGATTATTTTCGGTATTTCAAAGATAATCGAATTATCGATTTTAAAGGAAATACAATAAAATAGATTGATAATAATCGATTTATCATAGAATCGGCTTCTTAATTAATTGGTTATTTTCGATTAGCCGATTATTTTGGAATTATAGATTATTTTCGGTAATTCAAAGATAATCGAATGATCGATTTTAAAGGAAATACATTAAAAATAGATTATTGATAATAATCGATTGTTCTAAAATAATCGATCATTCTGTTTTTTTAAATCGATTTATCAGTTAATCGACTTTTTAATTAATCGATTATTTTTGATTAATCAATTACTTTCGATTTTCCAAAGATTATCGAATAATCTGTTTCCATGGACGAAAAAAATGATTTATTTAAAAAATTCTATTTTTATTATATTTTGTAAACACTGATTTATCGGTTAATTGGCTTTTTAATTTATCGATTATTTTTGATTTTTCAAAGATAAGTAGTCGATTTTAAAGGAAATGACAAAAAATATATTGTTTGAAAATAATCGATTGATCAAAAATAATCGATTATTTTCAATGATCGATAATTTAGTTCGATAATCACTCATCCCTAGTAGTCTAAGATCCGAAATAAGGTCGACCTTCACCCATCTGTTTACCGGATGAAAGTATCTTTTCATTAAATAATATATATTTATAAATATATCGCAAAATGGTTGCCTAAGAAAATACGGTCCAAAGTACTTATTTTCTAAAAATAAAAAAATCAACACCCTGTAAAGCTGTAAAGTATTTCACAGATGCTTCGATTATGCCCAAACTTTAATCAGCTCACCGCAGGATAGATTAAAGCCTAATTTTAAAATTTGGTGTGTTTCTTTTTATCCGTTTTTGAGTTGTCTTCAAAATTCGAAATTTACAATTTTTCTTAAATATCTCGAATTAGGTCCATTTTAGGGAAATCATGTATAGGGACAAAATAATAGAGAATGACATCATAAGCAACTTTTATCATGATTCTTATACTTTCCTCATCTGTACACAGAAAGGAAAGCAAAAAATGGCCGTGACCGTATTTTTTTAGGCAACCAATTTGCGGTATATTTAAAAAAATATTTTATTTAATAAAAAGAAACTTTCATCCGGTAAACAGATGGGTGAAATCCTGGACTATAGCGACCAAATGACTTTTAAAAGATTTAAACTTTAAAATGTTATCTGGTTTCAGACATATGCATTTCTAGAGTTTTATGTGACTCATACTTTATAATAATTAATATTCCTAAAGAAAGAAGTCTTAATATACTTTTTTCTGAGGTTACAATACAAAACAGCATTTTCTCATTTTGACTAATTTTTAATAATATGTAATAGCCGTAGAAAAAATATAATGTTCAACTCATAAGGGTAGATTTGCAGTATTAGCCTGCGCACATGCTATTTTTATAATACTCGTAGTCAATGAGTAACATTTTTTGCTCTATTAACAATATATTCTATTTCAACATTTTACTGTACTCTCTTGCAGAAAAGTCCGTAGTAAATAAACTCTAACGAAATATTCTATAAAAGGTCTTCCCTTTACATAAAATCTGTTTTATATTAAAAAATCACGTTAATTTTATTTCATAATACAAAATTCGATTAAACACCTTTCAAATAAATCTAATAATTCATTATGATGCTAATAAACAAAGGCCGGTCCCTGTCACAGAGTTCGGGTCGCCGCGTGTCGCCGCCCAGTTCCCCCACTCTTTTAACCCTTCTTTAGAAATTGGCAACATTTGCGCAGGTTAAAAACCGGTGTATGTTATATCTCTGGTCTCTTTTATCTAAGGTTTTACCCTAAACCTATTTTTAATACTTTTGAAGTATTGTTTGTATTATTCATTTTAATTTTTTAAATTATATTTAACGTAATAAATAAAATTGGAGAAAATTATAAAATTGGAGAAAATTGTAAAATCAGTAGTCCCAACTCGAACAAAATACACAAATTAATTAAGACGAAGCAATAAAGATTCATCATCTCATAAAATATCCATCACAAAACGACAAAAGCACGTTATTGCCAACAGATTACAAGTTAAACTCATACGGTTTTGGTTTCATATCCTGCTACAAAGTCCTTGTATACAAGTGAACTTTCCAAGTTAGTAGCAGGATCTTTTGTCTGGCCATTAGAACATTAGGACCCATGTACATGCGAGTGGTAATACAAACTTGATCGTAAAGCAAGACATAACTTATGCTCCGAGCGCAAAATTACTTCATTTATTTTTGAGAAGGTGCTGGAGTTCCATTAGCGGCACCTTTTATAATTTGTTTAACTTTTTATTGCCAAATTTATGAGTTTTTTACAAATTGATGTTAGGCAGAATATTAAAAAGTTTTTACAAGAAAAAAATCCAAATTTGAAAAACAAAATTTAAGAGCGATATCCATGCGACACCAAGAGCAAATTCAGGTTTAGAACACACTGACAATTTTCAGTGCATCTGAACGCACTTTGGCAACGTTGCTCTATTCCCAGACTTACGCTCTCTTCAATTTATTACTTATAAACTATAGATGATTTAAAATATAAAAAAAGGCCAATAAATCGCAGGTCCGGTCTAACAAAGAGTATTTCTGTTTTGTTTTCTCGTTTCAAATATTTTTTAAAGGTATAACCTGGTGTAACATTTTCGAAACTCTTTTTTCTAACTAAATAATTTATTTACGAAATATATTTTTAAATATACATATGTATTTCCTATGATTATTTCGGAAACATATCTACCTTTTTTTCTATATCAAGGGTGTTTGTTGGTAAGTGTGAATGATTTTAGGGAATGTTTGCCGAAGTTATTATATAAAAAAACATAGATCAAAAAAGTGGCATTCTCGCACAAACGCAACTGGTGCAAGTAGAAATATTTTCCCCAAAAAATACACATTTGTCCCTTCAAAGTTTTTTTGCAAATTTAGAGTAAATATCTTTAAAACTATTTAAAATAATTAATAAAATTTAATAAATTACAATTTAAACATTCTGTATCCCGGAACTTTTAGAGGAACTTTTTTTAACAAAATAATTTTGATAACAATTTGCAAAAATCTTTCGTACTTATTTACAAATACCCTGTATAAAAATACGTTTTTTAAATAATAATCCATTTAATACTAGTTTGTGCAACAACTGTGGACTATCCACTGGAGTTATACAGTATGTTTTTTCTACGCCCACTAACGAAAATCTACAAATTTAAAGTATTATTTTAGGAAAAGACAAAATAACTAATTTTAATATAATTTATGACTTTACTAATTTGTGAAATAAAATAAACATGAAAAAATATTTAATTTTATTAGTCCCCAGCCCAGATTTGAACTCAGGCCTCTCGCGTGAAAGACAGATGCCGTATCCTCATGTTCACCTCTACATTTAGAATTTTAGTTCTAATTAAATTAGTTTCATATAGTTTGATTTAAATTCAAGATTTTTTAAAATGTGGTCCAAATATAAATAAATTAAAATTATTTATGGATTCTACACAAAAATAACTCATTTTAATGTATATTTAATCTCAAAACCTAAAGAAGATACTGACAATTAGTTTGACAGAATTGTCACCTATTTAAAATTTTAAAAATAATAATAGTTGGTGTCCAATATATAAACTGTGATTTCATTTTTTTTGCAGTGTTCTCACTACCTAGAATGGATATGAAATATATTCGTTGAGTTGAACGCAATAGTATATTTTTTCGTTTTGTAGTCTGTGCGTGAATAGTAGTTTGTGCAACAAAATTGGATATGATGGCCATATTTCACGAAGACGAAGTTTGAGAACGATGCCGTAGACGGAGTGCTTAATCGACTGAGTGCGATACGGACAATCCACGAGTTGTACAGTATATTTTTTTCTACGACACACTAACGAAATTCTACAAATTTAAAAAAGTATTTTATTTAGACAAAATAAATCATTTTAAAATAATGTATGACTTTACTAATTTATAAAATAAAATAATCATACAAAAAGATTTAATTTAATTAGTCCCCAGCCCTGATTTGAACTCGGGACTTTCGCTTGGATACAAACTCCGTGTCTCACGCCATCGCCACATTTGCCATTTTAGTTCTAATACTTGTAATTAAATTAGTTTCATATAGTTTGATTAAAATTTAAGATTTGTTTGTAAATTTGGACGAAATAAAAATAGAAATGCCATTACTTATCGATTATACATAAGAAATATGTATTTTTACGTATATTAAATCTCAATAATTCAAAAATATACTGACAGTTAATTTGACAGAATTGTTACTTACATAAAATTTAAAAAATAATAGTAGCCAGGTGACAAAAATATAACCTGATTGGTGGATTTAACTGTTTTGCAGTGTTCTTAGTAGGTAGAATGGATATGAAATATATTCGTTCAGTTGAACGCAATGTAATACTTTTTTGTTTTGTAGTATGTGCGTAGATTAGCTAATATCTATGTGGGTATAGAAAAAATTATATCCATGTGGGTGTAGAAAATAGTAGTTTGTGTAAGAAGAGTGAATATAAATCAAATGTATTTCATATAGTTTTATTAAAATTTATAATTATTTATTTCTAAATATAGATCAAACAGAAATGCTATTATTTATCGATTCTACACAAGTATAACTCATTTTACGAAAAATTTGGGTGTATAAAAAATTGTTTTCTAGTACATACTAAAAATATATAAAAATAACATTGAGTAAAATGATTTATTATCAGTAAAAGAAAAAATAAAAATAATCAATTTTATTGACTATTGGTCGGATTTCTTCTCGCATTTCTACTCGGTTTTCTACTCGGATTTCTACTGAGATTTCTAATATCTAATCCTCTAGTGAAACGTGGATTTAATATCTCTGGAAGTATATAATCTAAATAAAATTACTTTAGTTTGGTTTCCATATACACCAAAATCATCTTTTTTTATTTTTTCTACTAACATACCTAAAGGTATCAAAATAATAAAAAACAAATATTTCGTTTAGTTACGTGAAGTTGCCCCTGAATCTGGTAATAATAACAATTATGATTTCGGTTTAATTGCATTTTGTCATTATCACTAATAATTGCAAATTTTATTATGTTGCAAACAGAGATAACCAGGAGATGTAACTATTAACAAATATCGTGCGGCCGTGAATAAGACATATTCTAAGGGACACAGTAGGGTATAATCACAATATATTGTGGGTATAATATCCGCTGTTGTCATTGTTAGTAAAGTGTATATATTAAAATATTCGCTCAAGAAAACGATTCACCTCCCACTCTTTTGTCACATAGCTGAATTTTTCACAGATGAAAGGTTATGATATGGTAACCCTTTTCCCGGAGTTAATACAAAATTAGACTGTGCAGAAGGGCACTATCATCAAAAATCCAGATATTGATACCACCGAATAGAGAAAAAAATACTAATTTTTTGGTCAAATGCACAATAAAATCTTTGTAGGGAGTAATTGTTTATACTTATTTAAAAAAAATTATTTGCATTAGCACTTACGGCCGAAAAAAAATATAAACGTAAATATCTTGGTTTTAGCCCTTCAAAAATGTAGTTAAAAAGTTGTCTTTTTTAAATATACCACTCATTTAACAAAAAACGAAGGCCTAAATGAAAAAAAAACATTCTTTATAAAATGTTTGCTTATGTGTTGAGAAAGTAACAGAGTAAACACTATATTTTTTGCTTTTGAATTAACAAAGATATAACAATAAACGATGAGAGATGTCATAGGTTTATGCTGTAATTAATTCTCACCGTCAAATTTATCGACTCTCAGTGTATCTTTCTCTTCACCTTCAAACGTAGCATAGCTCTGTTACTCTCTACGTGCGGGTTGATGTATCACATTATTGATATGGTAGGATTTTTCATTTTTTTTATTATAACAATTCTTGTTATGTTCCATAGGGCAATGTGTCATATTGTTATCTGTTTTTACTAAAGAATTAATAAGTGTATGTGTTATATATTAAATTACCTAATAAATTGGGAAAAAATATAGACATTTTTGCATCTTTATTATATCTACATTCATCCTGTTGCAGCTAAATATATTTGGGTAAGTTATAAGTTTTCGTTTAAAATTTTAATTACGGATTTGTTGCTGCAAGTAGCAGAGACAAAAATTATATCAAAATAGGAAAGCCCAAAAGTTGCATATCATTTAAAGAATATGCTCATATATTTGTAAACATTATTTTTAGAAATAAATTTAATGCTCAAATGATAGATGTGGTATTTGATCATTATAAAGGACATTCTATCAAAAATACAACACGCCAAAAGAGAGGATTTCAGAAATAAATTGATATAGAAATTGACCGACCCAATATTCCACTTCCGCAACAATAGAACTTGTTTATTCATTAGATATTTAACTTGTTTATTCTTTCGATATTTAACAAAAGACGTTTAACACATTTTCTGCCAGAGCAACTTCTTCAAAACTCCATTCAGCAAAAGCATATTCAATTTCTAACTAGTGGTGGATTCGCGAAAATCAATAAATATGGAAAGAATTTTGAACCATCAAAAGACGATTTTTTTAAATTCAAATCACGAAGACGCTAATAATCGTATCTCATTGCACATATTGTCAGCCAAAAATTCGGTGCATTCACGCTGCATTATTTATTGCAACGATACAGATGTCTTATTAATTTATTTTAAGAAGTTTTTGACTAAAGATATATGGTTCAGAACAGGGCGAGGAGACTCAAGACGATTTCTAGCAGTACATTATTTAAATTTGGATGAAAACCTTCTAAAAAATATGCCTGCTTTTCATTCTGACCGGTTGTGATACAACCATTTAATTGTCCGGCATTGGGAACAAAACCTGTTGGAAAACCTATCTTGAAAACCATTACTTTTTGGATGGATTTGGCACTGATCAGTACTCTGAAAACATATTCTCTAATCTTGAAAGAATTTTCCTAAAAATGTATTCAAAACTGCCAATGTTACTTTCATTAACATTTTGAGGGGATTATTGACCTCTTCAAAAACCATCGCTAAATTACCACCGACTGAAGACGCCCTAAGACTACATTGTTTAAGATGTTTTTACCAGCTAAATATTTGGCTAACCTATTTAAACCCAGATGCAGCTTCCTAATGTTGAAGAGTATGGATGGAAAGTAGATCAAGGTGGAAGTCTGATACCTACTTTTAAGACTCTGCCTGACCTGCCACCAGATATAACAGAACTTACATCATGCAAATGCAAAAAACATACTATACTATACAATATTCTAACAATAATATTCTGTTCTAGACTGTGGAAGCAAAATTTGCAAATGCAGGAAAAAAAATATTTACTGTATCGGTTCCTGCACCTGTATGGCACAGAAAAACTGCAGAAATAGTTTGACCACAGCCGCTAATGTTTTGGAAAATGTTGATTCGTG